CACACGCACGAGAGCACACAGGTACAAATCAAACTAAAATGTTCAATTCATGTTATTGAATGTTCGTCGTATTATATATATATATATATATGAGACAGAAACGAGTTTGAAAAGTTGGGGTGATTTGGTTGTGGCATAGTGTCCAAGTTCACGCGACTCATATGATCGTTGCAGCTATATCAGTAGGCTTACCATAGAAACGCCAGTTGCTATCCTTATTGTATGGGCATCTGGCCATTTGGATTACGTAGGGAGTAGGAACAATTATTGTTTAAGTTACGGATATGTGTGGGTTGTCGTCTGTTCGACATTCTTTTTGAAGCTTACGTCATTTCCTATTGGCACACGGCTTGGCAGCTGCAGTCTCTGGGGAAACAGAGAACACGAGACAATTACAGAATGAGAACAGATTCAAGTCTTTTAGGACGTAACGCACACACATCATATCAGATCAGCAGACGACGAAAGGCAATTTAGCGACACATTTTGAAACACCACACACAAATCAGAAACAAAATTTTTTTCTTCGTCATAGTATACCTGTTGATGCGTGTCTTTTTGTGCCATAAAGGAACAAGTTTTTTTTTTTAAATAGGGAAGGATAGTGCTTCCTTTTTCGAGTGCCCCAGCGCGCGCGCGCACACACACACACACTCACACGCGCACACACATACATAACGCCATCAAAACTCTTTGTTATTCAGAAGGAAGGTTTTCAGTGCCCCCAACCAGGGCTAAAAGACTAAAAGGGATAAGACATGTTGGCAGACAGACGGAGAAACCCAATAAAAATAATTTTGCAAAACACGAAAATCCAATTCACATCTTAGGTGCAGGACAGTGAAGTGAAGAACCTAACCACAACACTATGGACGCTGGTTTTATGGGGTGCACATGTAATGCAACTTTTCAAAGTTGCAATGGGGGGGTAAACTGATACAATTTCAAACACGCTATGTGTCTTGCAGATCTAAACAAGTTTGACGTCTGTTTGGTAACACTTTTAAACACTTTAAAAACTATTGATAACTTCTTAATGAATCTGTTTATAGGAGGTCATCGAAACTACTTTGGACATCGTCTTATCGTTTTACGACCAATCCTGGTACATGTACAGCGAGCACATAAATGTTATACATTGTATACACTTTCGGCACTTTGGTATTCTGAGTAGCGCGCCGCTAGCTCAGTTGATTTTATGCAGATGATCCTGGTTCAAATCCACAACAAAACGTTCTGAACGTGGGGTTCTTTGGGAAGTTTTTAAGGCTCTCCACTCTCCTTCCATTTGGTTCGGTACTACCGGCGAAGGACGTTAAATTCCGAGGTCCTGCCCCATAAACAATCGAGTGTTGAAAGGAGCGTTAACTTAAACCTATACAATTTCTAAAGAAGAATTTGGTTTTCTGAAATAAAACAGATCTAGATCTACTTTAAAAAAAAAGATTAATCTGACTATTTTGATTGACTATAGCAGTGCTTGCCAGCCTGGGCACTTCACCCATTAGTGGGCGATTTGGTAATTTTGGTGGGTGGTGTGGTGGGGTTCTGCCGGGGAGTGGCAGGTATTATTTAATGCTCCGCTTGGAAATATGTTTAAGTCCAGGTGGGTAGTGGTTAGGCTACCGGACTTATAATCGTGAGATTGCGAGGTCGGGGGTCCGAGCCGTCGGCCCGACGTTGTTTCCTTGGGAAAAGCACTTTACACGAATTTTCCTCACTTCACCCAGGTGGAAATGGGTACCCGGCCATAGACAGCGAAAGATCTTGTCAGTATGTTAGTGTTTTAGCGCCTATAAATGGCTGCTTGCACTTTATGCTCCCCAGGAAGTTGAGTTTGTTTCAGAATGCTCTCAGGTCTGCTGGGGTAATAGAAAAGATTGTGAAGCGCACAGAGCTTGCTTTTGAGCGGGGATTTGCGCTATACAAATGCTATTTATTATTATTAGTGAGAACATTTTAGCCTCTTAAAGTTGGCGTAAGTGGACGCTGGTTATAAAAAGGCTGACAAGCACTGGACTAGAGGAAGAAGAGTGAAGCTGGCCACTGGGAAATTCTCTGGTCCTAACAAATGGTGTGATTTTGAGTTTGTTCTGTGGTCTTCTCTACAGGATCCCAAGGGCATAGCAAGAAAGAAAACATTCTTTTTCGGAACAAAACACAATAACAACAATGCAAAAGCTTCATCAGCAAACATTCACTCCCCAAAAACAAACAAACAAACAAACAAACAAACAAACAAAAACAAAAAGAAAAACCGTTCACTTTCAGAACAAACTGAATAAACTAAAAATAAAAGTAAAGACGATACACCAAGAAATACCCAAAAGGTTCATATGCCAAAATGGATTCCTGAGCATAGATGTTTATTGATGTTATTCTGAAAATAGAGGGGTTGTGGCAGCTGCAAGCGTACAGTAGGTCAATGCATTCCCCCCCACCCGTGATACAGTACCACAGCAACAACTTTTTTAAAACAACACTGACGAAAATCGACAGCAATTACCCACTTCAGAAATAATTGCTACATTTCTTGCATAAATTTGTGGGTGATTGGCGAGTACTCTAGTTTGGTTTGCTCCTTATTTAAGCCCAATGTATAATCGTCCTTATCTCTCCTACTTCTTTTCTTGTGTATGTTACTCTCTTGTAACACCTCAAATCTTCAGCAATTACAAGACATGTGCCGTAAAACATTTACTAAAACTAAAAACTAAAGTAGACTTCCGAGAATATCGTGCAGGTGGTTGGAGGGTGCTCTGGTGCGGTTTGCTCCTTCTTTCCTATCAAACATCTGTCGTCCTTATCTTCCCTCCTTCTTTTATGTGTTTATTACTCTCTTGTAACACCTCTAATCTTCGGCACTTATATGACCTTACTGTATTGCAAGTGCCGTAAAACTTTTACAAGAACAAGAATATCGTGGAAGGAAAAGAAATCAAATGAGGTAGTACCTGATGAAGCCCATGAGGGACGCTCACTGTTAAAAACAACAAGGAAATGACAAATGCAGTTTTTGGGACACCTGAATAGACATAAAGGTCTTGAACATCTAGCTCTCACTAGCAAAATTGAAGGCAAACGAGGCAGGGGTAGGCCCAGAGCAACCTACTTAGGTCACCTAAACAAATGGGTAACGGGAAAAGATCAGGGCAACGTAGCTTTTAAGGAGTTCAGAGCAAAGGAATGAATGGAGAACCGTGATTGCCGATGTCTGCCGCAGATCTGGCACTTATTGATGAAGAGGATGAAAATCTAAACACTGGTCAGATACTCACAGGACACAAGCTCCTTTACACCCAGCCATGGGGCAAGTGTCGATGAAGCAGAAGACCAATGGACATTGATATCCCAGCTCTGGACGATCACACGACATGGAGTTAACGTTTAAATTTAGGCACTCATAGTCATCATCATTACAATTACAGTAACAGTGGTATAATAATTATAACCATGATCACGACCAATTTTAAGCAACAGAGTACGAATGAAAATTTCTACGATACAACAACAACAACAACAACAACAACAACCACAACAATAATAACACCTACTACTACTACTACTACTACTACTACTACTACTACTACTACTACTACTACTACTACTACTACTACTACTACTACTACTACTACTACTGT